CGGCCGACAAAACTGGCCGTGCAATCTCCCGCCGGTCGGCCGGCAAAACCGGCCTTAACCGTGCACGGCCGCAATTGTCGGTTGGTCGCACTGTGCACGATCAGTTTTACCGATTGGCCGCACAATTTTTTTAATAATTAAATTATTTTTTATTATATAAATTATGTTAGAATTTAGATATTATTATGTTATAAATTAGAATTTATTATCTTATTTTTAGAATTTAGAAATTATTATATTATTAATTAAAATTTATTATCTTATAGAGTTCTATTATTATTATGCTAGAACTTAGAAATTATTATGTTATATAACATAATACTAATTATCTGTAATAAAAATAATATAACATTTATAATTATTGTCTACTAACAAAATATACATTAAATAATATAACGATTTATAGTTATATATTAAAATAATACTTTTTTCATAAATAAAAATTTATTCGTAATACTAATTAAATTTTGAATAATGTAAAAAATAATTTTACAATATACTCAATTTTAATTTATAACATAATAATTTCTAAGTTCTAACATATAATAATAAATTCTATAAGATAATCAATATATATAATTACTAGCTGATGCATTTAATAAAACACTTAATAAAACTTATTTTCATTTCCCTCCAAAAGGAGTTATATTTTTTTTTATTAATTACTCACTAATCTGCTAAAATCGCTACACCTTAATACATATATTTTTATTATTTATTTTTTGGATCAGTTACTAAATTAATTCTAAATTTTGTAGCAAAATATTGAAAATGTGTAATGGCTAATGTTGGAACTTAAAGTTGATTGGCACATTCAGAGCTGTATATTTGGTTGCATTGTTGGAAGAAAAATATGATTGACACATATTTTTTTTTCTAAAAATAAGAAAAACCAATAAATTATGTCAATTTTCTTAATATATGCCACAAATATATAATTATTTTATTCATATTACTAATGTAAATGTTGCATGGTTAAAATAAATTTAAATCTCAATTAATTTTGAATGATAAAAATAACTTAAGAAAAAGTAATAATTTTTATATGATATAAGTACATGTCTAATTAATAAATACAAACAAAAACGTATTTTATATCTGTGCAAACGCACAGGATCAAATACTAGTTTTAATTTGTAACATAATAATTTCTAAGTTCCAACATAATAATTTTTAAATTCTAACATAATTTCATAAGACATAAAAATTGGATTTGTAAAAAAAAAAAAAAAAAAAAAAAAAAAAAAANAAATTTTTTTTTTTTTTTTTTTGAGTGTTTTGAAAAACTGTCATGGACAAAACGGTCCAAGGAGGGAGCGATATTTTTAGCAATTCATTTTTGCAAATGTCAATGGTTGTTGTCGCCTATCAAACATGTGTTAGCTTAGGTGGGTAGTGACCAATCACGCGTCAATACACTATTTGTGAATAAATGTTGATAACTTCATAAGTCGTGTCATCCGGTGTTCCATAACAAAAATAAATAAGATATAAGTGATCATCTTAAAATGACCTACTTTAAAACTCGAGAATTTCATAAATAATCGATTTGAATCACATTATATATTTTTACTTTTTTACTTTTTTACTTTTTCTATTGTATAAGCATATTTATTTCAAGCACTCGTGTAATATACAGAATCAGTACTAGTTTATTATATGTAAAGGTTCAAAATAATTAATTACATGTATGACATTAATGTGCTATAGAGTGCATCTTTAATAGTATTTTGTATGTAGAGCTATTAGTACATATTCATAGAATAATTACCATAATATTACATAATTTTTCACAAATGGTTTTTTTTTAAGGGTTCTACTTTTTAAGTGCTTGACCTTAAAAAAAATAAAAAAAGAAATAAAAAAAAATTGTGGAACACAATAATAAAAACATCCAGCACCTTCTTAATTTACAGGTATCTTGGGATTATTTCTGTCTTACAGAAGTGCAACCCCAAGATGTGTATTTTGTACAGTGGATACAAAATTTCATGGGACTCAAGTTTTATGATAAAAATAACGACCATTTTTTGGTAGCTAGACGGTAAATCCTCGGTCATTTTTAAAATTAATCAGGAGATTTAATCGATTAAACTATTCCAACGAGTTCGAAGCATGGTCAATGCCCTGCTGCAAGGGATAGCCTCCACTCTAATTTGTCCATCGACAACATTTTCTTTTACAAGTCCCAGCCTCATCAGTGTCTCTATGGCCTTGTCAACCGGCATCTCAACCTGCATATGTATACATGTATTACTTGCAATGTAACAAGTGCTTATTCACTAGACGATCATTTGATTGGTCTCGACTTACCTTCTCTCCAAAAACATCATAAATAAATGTCTCGCATTTACGTCCAATAGCTCTTGTGCTTGTCGCCTGCATTCAAGCAATTATCTGTGACACACTTATTTTAGTTTGAGAAATTTGCAATTCATACAACTGTATTGCAAACTCTACAAAGAAAAGGAAAAGACGATCATCAGCTAGCTGCAAGTTGGAAAATGAGTAGGCAAACAATTCGTATATTGAGTAAAGACCAAGTCGGAGAAGTTATTAAAATCAGAACACCTCCAACTTGATGAAAAATGGTGGAAAACAAAAGAACAAAAGGCATCCACGATCACTCTACAAAGCACCAGGTAATATATATACATCTATAGAAAGGTTAAGATATACTAGAATTAAATTAACATTTCTGCTACAATTGTTTGTCATTTTACAAAATCCCACTGTTGAAAAAATATAAGGATTTCCAGATGTCCCTAAAGAGTAAAGATAGAAAGAAGAGGAAAATTATATAGCCATCATTTTTCACCTTTTCTACCTTTCCTTTTAATTTTAACTGAATTAACAATCTATAGATTGTTCCTACAAACAATAACAACATAGCCTTTTAGTCCCAAACAAGTTGGGGTAGGCTAGAGATGAAACCCAAGAGAACCAATGGGTTTCATAGATTGTTCCTATTTTTATTTTTATTTTTATTTTGTTTTTTGATGTACTAAATGTTTCTTTAAAAAAAAATACCTTTTTTGTTTGTTGTATATAGATTATATATATTATTTTATTTTATATCGATAGATGTAGATCTATCGATATAAAATAAAACATAAGTTTCTCAAATAATAATGATTTACAATTAATGAATGAATCTAAAATTATCTCATAAAAATTAAGTTAAAATATACATTAAATAAAATCTATTTAACATAAAATCACATAAGATAGTATTTATGGTATGCTTGTTTTCCACAGGTCTGAAAATTTTATGCTAAAAAAATACAAAGTTGTGCGTTTAATACTCACNAACGAACCACTCTACCAAATCTATACTTATATAATAAGAATTAACATTTATCAAAATTAGTAACTTAATTAATGGTCAAAGTCAATTTTGCATTTATTACTTTCCAAAATCGGTAACTCTTATGTCCATTTCACACGCTCAGCATTTATGTCCTTTTCACATGCCTTTTAAACTCATTAATTATACGAATTTAATTCTCATGAAATAATACCAATTCACACGCCTCATAGCGCAAGCCTCATTTATGGTAACCCTTTTAAACATATTTTTTTAACGATAAATTGAAGAAAAGAAATCGTATTATAAAGAGAAGATATCTGGGATAATTTTAAGATTAAAAAACAAAATCTTATTATAAGGAGAAGATATTTCATACACCTTATCATTATTCAAAACTGATATTAAGTTTGTTATTCATTTCCTAAAACAAATACACGTGTTGAATTATTATCTCTAAAAAACTATACAGAATATATGCATATATATATATATATATATGCATATACACATATTAAATTTAAATATAGATATATTTTCTTTACAAAATAGTATAGAATTTTTTTTTTTACACAATGTTAAATTCAAATGCTCTTAGATATGTTTTCCTCTAAAATTGTTTAGAAAAGTTGTCGATGACTTCACATCTTTTAAAAATAATATAGAAAATTTTGAATACTTTTACATATATACTAATATATTATATTTAGGTGTTTTTAATATTAAACATGCAAATCTTATATTCTCTTATACAAAATAATGTAAATTTCATATTTTCTTATACCAAATAGTTTTACATTGTTTGACCCCGAATCTTTAATTTATAATTATTAAGTATTGTTTATCCTCCTCTTTACTTTATAATTATTTTTTTCTCTTTCTCTTTTTAAATAGGATCAATAGTAGTTTCCACTTCCGTCAGTGACTCAAACTCAAGATCTATTTATAATATTGTTAATTTAATATTGTTCCCGTGCATCGCACGGGGTACACACTAGTACTACCTTAAACAGAGAAAATTAAAATGTTCATAACATATACTATTACAAATAAAAAAAAAAGTTATTCATAAATAAAATACTGAATGAAAATCGTGAAACTTTACAAAGTTTAAAATAGTATAAATATACATAACAACCAGATATCAAATTAAATACGAATTGAAAACATAAGATAAATACTTAAATGAAAATAATATTAGGTAATACTTTTACCTTATTTATTTATTTTACATTTTGGTGCATGAGTAAGGGCAGTCTTGTTTGTACCAACTAGAGATCCTATGGACTAGGGGAAAAACAAATGAAAGAGACAAAACAATAGTTGAAGTATCCCCTATGACAAGCACAATAATCATTTTGAAAGCCTGAGAAAAACCAATCTTCTACAAAGACTAATGGCCATAATAAAAAAACTGACCTGGGAACTCTCTGCTTTAAGTAAAGTGGCATACACCAAAATGGCTTCTTTGTACTGCATAAAACACACACACACACACACACACATATATATATATTTATCGTCACGGAGGACTATAGTGGAGGAGAATCTAAATCGATATAAAATATATATACAAGCCTAGTGGTGTCTCACTTGCTGCTGTTCAGAAGCATCAAGAAGAAAATGAATGGAACCAAAGCCACTGGCTACTGTTTTCTCGTACAGCGTCTTATTCACCAGAAGCTGAGTAACATAAATACAAATAAACTCGATCAGAAAAGCACCCTTCTCTTCAAACAATGAAAAAAGAAAGTAGAGCAAGGAATGTGCTCGGCTCACTTGATATCTATCCCTTGTTTGTTTGTAGCCCAAAACTACACGACTGACATATATCACAAGGGCAATAGCAGGAATCACATCTAAAAGCACTGCAGATCTGCATAATATTTAAAAGGAGAACAATCTTTACAAGGTCGCCACTGTTTGTATAATGATAAAGACGAATTGTTTTCAGGCATTGACATGAACTTATAATGGCCATCTTATTCAAGGTCTCCTTTTTCCCCTTTTTTCCTTCTCTCGTTTCGTATACAGACCCATTGTCCTCACAAGGGGTCAGTGATTCAAAGTTCCCAGATGTTTCCAAGAAAATGAATTTGTGAAGTAAAATTATCGTTTTGATGATTTACTTCGATAATTATAAATGGTCCCATAAAAACTTAAAAGCTTATTTGCTGAAGGTTCTTTAATAGATGTTGAGCGGAGATTGCTCGACTGAGACGTCTAATAGACATCGTACAAGGATCCTGCATCGTGACTTTGGTCCGCACATGTGAAGTTTTGCACCTAAGCATGCATGACTGACTTCTAATCACACGGGTTAACATCAACCAATCATGGATCAAAATTTTTAGAGCAAGCAATTATGAACATACTAGCACATACGGTGAAGATAAAACATCTTCAAATTTATAGCTAAAGAAGTATGCCAAAAGCCCCAATATTGTCGCAACATCCAAGCGTACCTGCATAAATAACATTCAAGTCCTTGACTAAGGTTTTCATCCATTTTTACCAAATGAACAACATTTATTAAAAGAATCACCAGAAATACGCCTTCACAATACAATAGAACACAGTGCATTCAACAGTCAAAATTTCACTTAGAAGTGTTACTGTCAGCCTCAAATTATGCATCACTTTTTAGTGCAAACTTATTCCATATCATATCAAGATTAAGTGGAGACAAATATTCAGAAGATCTTGTATTTATTTATACATCTCCTGATCTCTACTTAAGAGTCCCATGGCATTCAATCCAAATATATTTGTATGATATGTCTTATTTCATTTAACACACAATCTTCAGTCTACTCCTCCCTAATCCAAGATCATAATAGAAGGCTCCAGTAGAAACTACTTGCAACAACTTTACAACTAATTCTACTAGCTCAGCTCATCTTTGGTTTTTGAAAACGATAAACCAATCATATAAAAATCCGTTGCACCTGTTTATACCAATTAGATTTCTCTCCCATAATCATATACGGCATCTTTTCCAATTAAAATATTCATGCTCTTAATGTTACGAGGACAGTCTATTTTTTGGTGATGGAGTTACCGTGTCAAGTATTCGGAAAGACAGCTTCTTGTGAGGAAAAACAACCTACAAAAAATAAACAAAATCTTCTTCATTTACTGAAATCATTTGTACAGCATAAGGTTTTCACTTTCGATGAAGCATATACCGGAAGATCTGGAATAGGAATTTTCTCATAGATTTTCATTTGCAATGAAGGAACCTCCGGTTGATCTGATCGTTCTCTTTGTCCCTTTTCTTCAGTATAAAGCAAGATTAACTCTTGGAAGGCCGGCTCCTAATGAAGTACTTAATTGAGAATGAATCAACCAAAAAAGAACAAGTAAAAGAAAGAAAAGGAGAAGGTATCAAAAGTGTGAATACATCTAATTTAGTTTTCATGTAGCAACTAACTGCTGTGTTCCAATTAATCCACTGTGAGATAGCTTAAATGAGAATTAAGACAAAATTAAAAAGAATATATTTGGTGATCGACAGATGCTTCTCCATCTAATGTAAAGAAGAGCTTGGGAATTGAATATGATTTATTTTTTTAACAATTGGGCTTAAAACTGGCATTACAACTCAGGCACCCAATGACAAAAGCAGAAATTATCACTTCTGAGATCCACCAAATATCCCATGAAGGGCTCATCAACAACTTTTTCTTACTTCCACAAAAGGGCTCATCAATCACTATGATTACATTAACATCCTTCACAGGCATACCATAGGTCATTAGAGTTACATATTTTATGTACATCCAAAAAACCTTGAAATTGCAAACCTAACATAGTCACATATGATTAAACTGATACCAAATGTATCCTAATTTAATCAATTAAGATCACCCAGAACTATAAACATGGAGAAAATTTATATGGTTGGACTAATTATGAACACTTGAAGAGATCTATAGAAAACTGGCTTGATACAAAAACAAGAAGGAAGTATTAATGTCCAGACAAAAATAATGAACAAATATTACATTCACATGCTATAAAAGTACCTGCAGAATAGATTGGGAGAAGAAAATTGAAAAGGCATTTCTTAACATCCTCCGGAAGTCATTTCCACAAGATTTAGGTGATGCAGGTTTCCATATGTCACTAAGTGATATCCTTGACAAGAAGCTTGGACTGTACAGGTAACATATCAATTATTGTTTATTGTTAAGAAAAACCAGCAAGCCACTAGTTCTTACATGAAATAAATTACGCTAAAAGAAAAGAGGATGACCACCTTATATCGTGGTGTATTTAGACAAACAAACACATTTTCTAACTGCATGCAGCTTCAAAAAATTTAACATATATACAGATGCATCTGTGTGCGCGTGTGTGTAGCTGTGTCCCTTGACATACAATCAAGTACAGTCGATCAATCACAAAAAGGACTCTCAAATCAGTTGAGATACTTTATTCTGTAAGCTAAGGATTACAGAGATTCCTGATGATTAACTGATCAAAACACTTTCCTTTTTCTTACTTTAATTTTCAGATATACTAGAAGTTAAAATAAGAAATAAATAAGTCCAACATTAACTCGTCTAACTCGCTCTTTGGATGGATTGCTAGTTGCTACTGCTCTAATAATAATCCAAAATGTACCACAAGAACCAATGGTCTGCCAGCCTTTCCACTCATGTCAATCGATATGCATGTTTACATAAAATCATCAAGTATTCAGATCTCATGACATCAATGGATAACAATCAACCTCAAGTTGGATTCAGAACTAGCAGTGTGTGTGTCAAGGTCAAATGCTTGCTCAGGAGTTGATGGTAATAGGCCAGCCCATGCCAGAAATTTCCTTAAGAGCCTCTCTCGAGGCCCAACTTCTGAGAGAATCCCTTCATAGCGAGCTACTGCTTTCTGTGCAGCCATCCAGATTGGAAAATCAGTAGATTGGATGTCAACCTTTGTACGGTCATCAAGCATTTTTTCATCATAGGAATAAGATTTCAAGGAAAGTGACAACTCCTTCATCCTGAGCTTGAATTCACTTGCCAAACTTTCTGTATCTTCGTTGCGAGTGATGCTCCTGAAAACCTGTTCCACAATAAACAAATGTGACAGTGGAGCAAACATAAGTTCAGGAAAGGATATACTTTAGTATACGCATATCTGACTAGTGCATGAAAGTAAATCAAGTAATTTTAGGAATCCCTTGTTATGAGCTCAAAAAGTTTATCTTAACTAGTATTTATCAGACATAAATGGGTTCTGTAGAATGCTCTTACACGATAAGGTTTCTGACTGAGAGAAGTGGATACAAATGAACAATACATGATTTACAAATAACTAATGGAAAACATGGCCCATTTACTTGGAGTTACAAATCTTAATACCAATATAACATAGTCATCAATACAGCAACCCTATATAGTAGGTGATTATAAAATACAAAACAATATATTAAAGCAAAAAAGCAGTTTTCAACTAAAAACACGATTTACATGTGCATTCATCGCATCTCTTGAATATTTAAGTTTGAAATGCATGACGACTAAGTGGCCAACTAAAGTAATTGAGAGGAGCTAAAAAAGTCCCATTGATCGCAAATGAGATAGGGAAAACTGATTCCAAGGCCCGTGCCTAGGGTTTAATCCACACTGCCACACGTAAAGAAATCCACCACATTACACATTGCCAGTGAAAGACTGATTGCCACATAAAGGCAATATCAAAATAAAATCACATGAAACCTCGATAATAAATTATGTTAGTCAACCAGTTATTGATATATATGTATTGACGACCATTAACTATGATATGTATATAGCTTCAAGCCTTCAAGCAATGACCATTAACTGATGAGTTGTCCAGTGTAGTAAAAATGATAACTATATTTGATAAGATGGTGTGATCTCAACCATGAAGTGCACTCTTTGGTAACATTATGAGCATATACAGATCGAAAATATCGAGCAATGGCCAAGGAAGTGATTATTAAGGATCAATACTGTAAAATAGTTAATAAAATTTCTAAGTTCTGGAGAATAAGATCCAACATCCCTGTAAGGATCTCATAATAGACTATGAGACGTTCCTTGTCACATATTGTTATATATCTGATAAGTCTAAGTCCAGGGCAAAAAAATCTCTTGGCCAGAGACTTAGAGACTGGCATATAGGAAAAAAATCAAATAATGGTTATGGCAAGTACCTCATTTAACCAGTCACCAACTCTACCCATCGGTTTGGAAACAAGGAAAAAAATTCTTTGTAACAACTTCGACTGTAAGTAATCCAATTTTTCAGCAATTAAAAAGCCTTTTTGCCTCTCAGTTGCATATCCCCGCCTGTATATAAAAAATGGGAAGAGTGAATGACCTGTCAATATTCCAACAAGAAGGGGGGGCTAGAAAAATTTAGTCATTCGTGAAAAAACAGGAATATATGAACATATATGATACCAAGTTCTCTCTAGATTCAAAATTAATCAACAGTGTGGAAGTTAACAATATGGAATTATGGATAAATTGATGTAATAAGATTTAAGATTGTTCTTTAACCAATATGGTCTTTTTTCTGCAAAACATAGTCAGTGGGGGACTTCAGAACAGCATGCGAGTTATAAAAAAAATGATCTTTATTTACATGAAAACATGGAATGAGATTTAAGATGAAAATTGTTGTGGCTTTGGTCCCAGCAGAATAGGAATTTGCACTTGCTTAGCCTAGCATGACTTTCTTGTTTCCTCGGGCCACAGTCTTCCTTTCTGAAGAATAATTTGAATTCTCTCATGTGAATATAAATGTGGAGAACATATAGCACAATGTACAAAGTCAAATATGACGAGGAGGCCGGAGCATACAAAGTGCAAGACAAAGCGAACTAAATGGGAAATTTCAGGAAGTGGCAAATGGCAATTAATGAATTAATATTATTACTAGGAACTTAATTACCTGAATATGATAGCACTCGACTCGGATGCCTTTTTCCAGTCAACATAAACTGGCAATGTAAGGAGATAATCAGTATTTAGCGCTGATGTCAACATCAAATCTCTTGGAGATAACTCTTCAAACCCAGCATTATATAGCAATTTCATGAAAGCATGTTGAAAACGTCCGGGAATGGCAACACTACATGTAAATTAGATAGTATAAGAGAAAATTGGTAAAATAAATGATAATGATGAAAGGAGAATTACAGGAATTCCTTATAACCCAAATGAAAAGAAAATATTATCACACGATCAAAATTCCTGACACCCCACCACAGAAATATTTATTACTGTAAGTTCTTATAAGCAAAGGCTGCACAAAATGACACCTGGGACTATTGATAGGAGTTCGCATGGCAGTTCTGAGTGAAATATCCATTACTTGTTTCCAATCCAGAGTAAAACTGGACGAAACTTCATCCTCATCTCTGCCCATCTTATCACTTTCAACAGAGCCATTCACGAAAGCCCTTGAATCCTCATCAGCCACAGATGTTCTTCCAATAGACGGAAAATCATCATCGGTACCGGAAGACTTTTTCTTCGTCGGACGAGTAAGACCAAAATCAGCTCTCATCTCCTCCAAAATGGTTTTGTGCTCGGCGTGAAGAATCGAATCCAAACATCTGCAAGAGACATATTTTTTTTTCTTGCAATCAATAACGAAATGAACAAAAACNAAAAAAAAAAAAAAGAAAAAAAAACTGACTGGGATAGAGAGAGAAATTGAAGCGCCTGCTCTTGTTGCGAGGCGAACATGGTGGAGATAATGGCATCCAATAACTCGGACTTGGAAATAGATATGTATTTCTGCCTGGGAACCTTGATTCCAGAGCGGGCCGCCTCGGGCCCGATGCGCTTATCCTCCTTCACATCCCTGGGCTTAATCGGAGATGGAGGTGCTTCCCGCACGAAGGCTGGCCCCGAACAGCAACTGATGCGAACACGGCGAGCAGCTGCTTGGTTGGTGGGAGAAGACGATAATGGTGATGAAGGCGGAGCGCCAAAGCAGCGGAGGCTCTGCAAAGACAGTGACATCAGAGGACGAAATAAGTAAGGGGACGATTGTTTATAAATTCAACTAGCTTTTAATTGGTTTTTTTCTAACTATAGTTAATTTTGAAGAAAAAATAATACTACCTCCTATTCTTTTTAAATGTCATTTTGGCTTTATCAACTATTAACCAAAATAAATGTCGTTTTGGATTTTTTGTACATATTTTTCCATTATTACCTTCATTTAGTTAATAAATACACTACGTCTTTTCATATTCTCTTCATCTTTTTTTTTAAACATCTATCTCTATTTTCATTAATGAATGTTATTATTGGTAAAAATATTATTTTTAATTAGTGTGCAACTTTCCACAACTGACACTTATTATGAATAGGAGGGAGGATAGTTAGTTGTTAGTAGATATATAAAATAATATTTAAAATAAAATAATTAAAATTGTTATAAGGTAAAAGTAAGAGATAAAATGATTAAGATTGATAGTTAATTAAAATTATGTGAGCAGATAAATAGTGAATTAAAGTTGATGTGAAGTGTAATAATGATTGCTTGAATAATAGGTTATATTATTTAATTATATTGATAATAATGAGATAGTGAGGTTGGATTAAAGTTGGGTTAAATTTGAATTTTGATTGGTTTCTTTTAAGGTGAATTAAAATAACTCTTTTCTTATGTTTTATCTTTTTTTTTTTCATATATAATTTGATTTTTATTTATTGTTGAAGTTATTTTAATATTTTCATAAATAATGCTATTTTGATATAATCAATGTATTTTGATATAATATACCGGTCGGATGACCGTCGGCCGCCAATATCGTATTTTTTTATTACATTTTTATTTAAATTATGTTATAATTTAGAAATTATTATGTTATAAAATAAAAAATAAATTCTACAAGATAATTAATTCTAATTTATAACATAATAATTTCTAAGTTCTAACATAATAATAATAAATTCTACAAGATAATCAATAATAAAATTTATAAGTTCTATAAGATAATCAATTCTAGCTTATAACATAATAATAATAATAATTATAATAATAATAATAATAATAATAATAAATTTTATAAGATAATAAATTTTAATTTATAACATAATAATTTCTAAATTCTAAAATATTTTTTTAAAAAAAAACACGGTCAATCAACCGACATTACTGGCGGCACAAGGAGGCGGTCAACCGATTAGGCCGGCCGAATCAACCGCAATACGTATGAGTAATGTAAGAGAGAGAAGTATTTGAGTGAGAAATAGTTATTGATGATATTTGTATATGTTAATTTTCATTTTCCTTAAATCTAGACATGAACTTTAGAATAACAGTTATTTTATACTTAAATTTTAAAATTAATGAGAAAAATTATATTAAATTTTATTTACGTTTTTAAAAAAAAAATATACTATTATATATTTTAGAATAACATTTGTTATTTGTGTGACTTACATGTGTTATATTATAGTAATTTTTATAACTTATATCATGTAACTGCTTGAAATATAAATATATTTATTGATAAATAATTTTATTTTTCTAATTAATATTAAAAAATAATTTTATTATTGTTATAAAGATAAATATAATCTATTTTTTTTATACATACATGTTAAATCAAAATTTATCAAGAGATGATTCATTTGAGTTATATATGTAAAACTGATAAAAAATACAAAAATTATAAACTTTTAAAATACATTTACAATTTAATGCTTATAATAAGAAATGATATTAAAATACAATTAATACATCACATGACCATAAATAATCAACATATTTATGGATATTCCAGACCTAATTATTTTTGGATTGGAAGTAAATTAAAATCTACCCAAGTCTAATAACGAAGCATGTAATTTTGCGAGGGTCCCAAATCATGCAAGTCTTCCACTTAGACTCAGCACGTTTTGAATTAATATATAGGAGGATTGCTTCCGTGCATTGCAAACTTATGTACTAGTAGAAAAATATTGTATAGTATTTTAATTGCAAATATTAATACAATATAAAAATGTGAAATAATATTGTTGAAATGGTGTTAAAAAAATGAAAAGACGTTAACTACTTACCTAAAACATAAGACTTAAAAGTTAAAATAAAATTTGGTGAAATAATTATTGAAGTTAATATATTTTGAAAGAAAGTTGCAAGTTTGGTTCTGCATGATTGGTCAATGCATAATTGGTCCCAAGTTACAAATCTAGTCCATTTTAAATAAGGGTTGACTAATGGAGGGGCCAAAATTGAAAAAATACAAATAAATGATAAAAAAAAAAAAAAATGGCAATATTTGAAACCAAATCTACAAGACACTCGTCAATCTATCATTATATAAAAAGAATAACCTTTTTACAAATTTAGAAACTTTTTCCCGCCAAAATCATTAAATATATCCTAATATAGTAATTGTTGGACAAATGTGAATAGGCAAAAAAATCGGCTCATTTTTTTTAGTTTATCAAAACCGTTGTTTGACAATAACTATTTATATTTTTTTTCCTATTTTTAGTATACATCTACACGCTTATCTCTTCTGTTACAAAATCTCATTGCATACGATCTCACGTGTTTAAAAAATCTCATCCCTTATCTATACAGATTCAAAAAAATAAAATAAAATAGAAACCAATTCATAATTACTACTAGAAATCCATTATTTTTAAAAAGAAAAAATAAAATAAAATAGAAACTAATTCATAATTACTACTGGAAATCCATTATCTACTTTAAGAAGCTAATTTTCATCGGTCTAATTACTAATATTTTTACAAATATTATAAGCTAATCGGTCTAATTACTAATATTTTTACAAATATTATAAGCTAACCATACAAAAAGTATAATAATAATTTTGAAATGGTGTGTAATCAAATTTTTTTATATTCTCTTATACAAAATAATTTTACATTGTTTGACCCCGAATCTTTAATTTATAATTATTAAGTATTGTTTATCCTCCTCTTTAATTTATAATTATTTTTTTTGCTTCCTCTTTTTAAATAGGAACAATAGTAGTTTCCACTTTCGTCATTGAGTGACTCAAACTCGAGGTCTATTTATAATATTATTAATTTAATATTGTTTCCGTGCATCGCACGGGGTATACACCAGTTCTATTCTTATGAACTATTTTTTTTTTTTAATAATTTTCAGCCTGCTTCTCTTTGCACATCCCCTCTATATATAATTTCAGAATGCGTTGAGCCTACGTGGCAAACTCTCATGCTTTGGAGTTAGGCTTTGATATAAATTAATATTTATATTAATTGTATTTTAATATCGTTTCCTATTATAACCATTGAATTGAAAATATATTTTAAAAACTGATAACTTTAGTATTTCTTATCAGTTTTACATATATAATATATCAAATTAATGATCTTTTGATGAGTTTCGATTTGACATCCATATTGTAAATATAAAATAAATAAATTATATTTATCTTTATAATAATAAAAAAATTATTTATTAAAATTAATTAGAAAATTATTTAATGTAGTTATATGTTATAAGGTAGAAATTTTATTATAATATAACACATATAAGTCGCACAAGTAACATGTGTCATACTAAAATATATAATAATATATACTCCCTCCTATTTTTATTATTTATCACTTTAGCTTAATTGATTATTGATAAAATAAATGTCGTTTTAGATATTTTGTTAATATTTTTTCCATTTTTTAACCCTCCATCTAATACACAGTGTCTTTTCATATCCCATCTCCATCGTTTCCCATAACATCCATTAAATAAGTTTAATATTGTCAAGAAAAAAAAAATCTTAATTAGTGTGTTGCATTTAAATTGATATTATGAAGTCCGTTTGTAATTTACTATCTATTTATATATATAAATAATACAAAACAGTAATATATATCCTTATAAATAAAATTTAAATTTATTTATCAAGCTAAATTAAATTATATCAAATAAAACTATAAATTATATTATAAAGTAATAGAAATTGGTATGTATTATTTGAAAAATGATATTTATTTCAAATCTAATTGGTATGTTGTCAATGTAATAAAAATAAATAATTATTTATATAAATTCTAAAATTACATATAAAGTTAAAAATATGTGAAGCACGACTGATACGACATTTGATGTATTAGGCATCTAATTAAGTAAAAAAATTAATCTATTTTGTTTAATATTAAATAAACATATTCTACACTTATGCATATACATATCACCATATTATTTCTATTTATTTAAGATTTATATTTTTGTACTTATGTAATAGTAAATAATATCGATATTTTTATATGATATAAGTAAAAAAATTCAACGCGGGTTGACATTTTCATTTAATGTATGGGTGTTTAATTATTATGATTAAAACAATATAATTTGACAATTTAATTAAAACCCAAAGTAATGTTTTATTAAAATTAAATTATTTTTTTTAAATCTATATTTTTTACAAAAATTTTCTAATTCAACACCCGTGTAATACACGGGTATTGTACTAGTTAGTTTTATTTATATAGTATCGTTATCGTTTTGGAAAAAAAATAAAAAAGAACTAAAAAATTTATAATTTTCTCCTTGAAAAAGTTTTGGTTTTAAAAAAGGATTCTTTTATTGAAAGAGGGTGAAACCGTGAAAGAACAAGCTTTAGAAAAAGGATATGGGGACCTCTCCACACGGAGTAGTAGGCATCAACCTGCAACTACCCTCAACAGCTCCTCCATCTTTCTCGCCCCAACCCTTCCATCTTCTTCTCACTTCTCATAAATTTATATGTAAAATGTTATGCCGGCAACAATTTCATTGAATGTTAGTCGCCGTTAAGTAATCTTCTCAAATGGCGTCTTCTTCTTCCTCTTCAGTTCCAGCTCGTTCTGTAGTCACTTCACTGGCAAATGCACCTATTTATTCATCCATTCACGAAGCTCTTTCTCCAGGTGAGTAAAACTACTCGCTCTTTCTTCTTTTTGTTAACAGCTAAAAACGGGAAGAAAAAAACTTGAATATATAAATTTCACGTTTAAGGTGTTGAAGCTGGAAGCCGAGGCCCTGGCATGGGTTCGAAACATAAATTGTTGGTATCACTTGTTGCTGCTTCAGCTGTGGTGGGAATAATTTTACTCTTTGTTTTCTATATTTACTGTTATCGCAAGCTCAAGGGCCGAGTTTTGAAGAAAAATGACCACAGGTCAGGTACTCTGAGAGCTCTCAATTAATTCTGGGATTTCTTGATTTTTGATGTCTTATGAGGTGCTGATTAGGGTATTATCATCCCCAATTTCCAGTTGTTTGGATAGTGCTAGTTGTAAAAAGACACCTGTTAGTATAATGGAGTACAAGACCCTAGAATTAGCCACGGATTGTTTTGGCGATGGTAACTTATTGGGAGCTGGAGGATTTGGGTGTGTGTACAAAGCCAAGCTTGAAGGAGACTGTTTTGTTGCTGTGAAGAGACTAACTACTACAATGGGGACTGCGGATGCTGTGAGAGAATTTCAGGTGCCCTTTTCTGAGTGACTCTATTTGTCTCATCTCCCAGTTTTCGTCTAATAAGCAAGAACCATCTTGTACTTTTTTTTTAACCTTGATTGCAGACTGAAGTAGATTTATTGAGTAAAATTCAACATCCAAACATTATTGCTTTACTGGGGTATAGCATTCATGCCGAAAGTAGGCTTCTGGTATACGAACTGATGCAGAATGGATCTCTAGAAACACAATTGCATGGTAAAAGATGATTCGAGCCTAAGCAAGATGGCCTTTTTTTTTTTGTTTTAATTCCTTTGTTTATTTCTCGTTTTTTGTCTTTGCTCTAAATCTTTTGATCTATGCCTTCAGGACCTTCGAGGGGATCGGCATTAACATGGCATATAAGGATGAAGATTGCACTTGATGTAGCAAGGTGAGTGAGTTGCTGAGTATGACAGCAGACAGCCTCATGTGGATAATTGAATATTTACTTGTGAATCTGTGATTGGTTTAAGATTATTATTATTATTAACATGTTCTGCAACTGGTTGACCAGAGGATTAGAATATTTGCATGAGCACTGCCATCCACCAGTGATTCACAGAGATCTGAAATCATCTAATATTCTTCTGGATTCCAACTTCAATGCCAAGGTAAAATTTGAAAAGAACCTCTGATCTGTGAAAACCATTAATATACGGTCAGCATTTTTTTTCTTCTGTGTGTAAAAGTCTACTGTGCTTGTATTTTTAATTCCTTTTTGAGTCAATGAGCACAGCTTTCAGATTTTGGGCTTGCTGTGCTGGACGGACCACAGAACAAGAACAATATCAAGCTTTCAGGAACCCTTGGTTATGTAGCTCCTGAATACCTTTTAGATGGTGAGAACAAGACTTTTTTTTTATATATTTTTTTTCTGATACTTACTCGTTCAGTTGTCACTTTGTTGCTTACGTATATATATATATGATATTGCATTATTGTTGGGGGATTTCATGATAATAGTTTTCTTCGCAAATAGGTAAGTTAACAGATAAAAGCGATGTGTACGCCTTTGGAGTAGTGCTGCTGGAGCTTCTACTCGGGAGAAAGCCAATGGAGAAACTGAGCCCCGAAGCTCAGTGCCAGTCTATAGTCACATGGGTAGGCACCTTTACCAATTATTATCTTCATTTTCTATATGGACACTCATAGCAATACGTGCCTCTACGCCAATGTGATGCAGGCCATGCCTCAGCTTACTGATAGAGCAAAACTTCCTAACATCGTAGATCCTGTGGTTGGAAATTCCATGGATTTAAAGCACTTATACCAGGTTCTTTAATGATGTTAAAGCAAAGTTTTTCGTTTTAATTATATATGCATGAATGAAAAGCAAAAGAAAAGGGAAATAAGAAGCAGAGCAATAGGAGCCTAAGTCTGAAATTGCAAGTGTTATAATGCGAACTCCAACCAAAATAAGATTTTTGGTTCAAAATCTTGAACGAGCTAGGGTGTTCTAGCTGGTCATGGTTGCTTGATCCTCAATAATACACGTGTTTCGAATTTACATTCAGCTTGCTATTGATGTTATATGTTCCTGTTTATTTTTTGTCAAACAACATACATATCTTCATTTTCGAATATGCATAGGTTGCTGCTGTGGCGGTGCTATGTGTACAGCCAGAACCGAGCTATCGCCCGTTAATAACGGATATTTTACATTCTCTGGTGCCCCTTGTCCCTTTTGAGCTTGGTGGAACGCTCAGGAACTTAACAGCTGTGGCTACAACACCACCTTCTTAAAGCTAATTAATGAATTCCACAAGCTAAGGCCTCGAAAGTGTGCTGTATTGTCTGTATGCGGCCTTCACATTATGGCCAGAAATATAATACTTGGTTTTGACTTCCAAAAATGTACTTTAATAATATTCAGTTTTTCCAGTTGTTTCGTCAGTGAAATTTGCAATTGCGGTAGAAATTTTGCAATTTTCAACTTCGTGTATCATTTTTTAATCACCGGAGTTCGATCATACACATTAACAGAAACGACAATCTCAACACCTGTTGTACCTGGATTAATTATTTATGTAGAGCGCATTTGTTAAAGGAGATGAGATAAGATTGCAGCACTTATCCAGGCTAAAATAGTTGTTTGTTTACCTAGATTAAGGCCTGTCCGATTTCCTCCGGCCCGCGACCCAATCTCCACTTATCTTGCTGCGCGGCGATAATTTGATCCGAGGGGGGAAGGTCTGATTCAAAAAGTCTTAACAGTAATTTTTTGGTCAAATGACATTAGTGACCCCAGCTTTTTGATTTTCAGACTCTTCTACTCCTTATTTGTACTACAATTTACACCATATGTCAAACTCTGTTATTGTAATCTACCTCCACCCTTGCTTTTGCAGAGTTTCCCCTGTGTTCATTATGTCATTAGGTTGAGCTCCATTTTAGTTGAGATTGGTTTTTTCCTAGATATATCTTTATTGAAAAAAATGGTTCATCGATTTTGGTGTGTAGAAGGTTTGATTAATACGCGTGTGGTCGATGGGAGGGTATTGGTTTCTTTTCTCAGATGTAGCTTAAACTTTTTTTTTTTTTTTTTC